ATTTTGCAACCATCAAATCTGAGAAAGAAAACCTATTACTTGTTTTGACCAAGTGGTTGGATCAAAACAGGGGCCCTGGTCAAGTCTCAGATGAGATTAACTGCCGGTAGCTGGTGCGGTTGTTGAAAAATGTTATTATTGTGGGAAATCATTCTCAACCCAGTATCCTGATGTTAACTGCTACTGTTAAGGGACACCAGCCTGGAGGGAAGCCTGTCGCGTGTGCTTGTTGCTAATAATGAATGGTTGAATGGAATTCAAACGACTGTACAACAACGTGGTTGCTGCTATCATCAAGGCTGAAAGCTCTCTAGTGCGTATCGCTGCTAGCTCTGACTTGTTGATCACATACTGATTGGTCCTTGGAACTCGGGAGGGCACTTGGGTTTCTATGGGTGTTATACTCTGATGGCTCATTACAAGTTGCCAGCTGGGCTTATTATAAATAATTTAAAATTTTTCCAATTCTAAAATATTCTCCACCCAACACATCATCACATTTGCCACCGAAACATTCTTTATCTTATATATATATATATATATATATATTTTTTTTTCTTTTTCTTTCCACCGCCCAAACTTTTATCTTTATTTTATAAAAAAAAAAAAAAAAAAAAAAGGCAACCTTCTATTCATTCCATCTCCTTTTTCTGCTCCGTCTTTTGTACTTCAAGCCATTCGGATTTGCACAAAAACTCATTTTATTCATATTCGGGACTCGCCCTGATCACAATTACACACACACAACACACACACAAAAAAAAATAAAAAAAAAAAAAAAAAAAAAAAAACCAACAACAACAACAACAACAACCAAACAAACAACCAAAAAACCCAAACAAACCACATCCACAGGCTAGGGAATTTTCTCTACTCTTTGCAATTGTCAGTGCTTTCTTCATTGCCTCCGTCCTGGGCGGTCTTGACGTATTGCCTCCGTGTTTCCCACTCCACTGGGCACGATCACTAACTCCGCTTGCTCCTCCACTACAGCATTTTATGGGGGCCCCTCCAAATCGGAAATTAACGGTGGCTTTCCGCTTCAGCTCCTTATTTCGCCTAGCACACTTATCTCGCTCGGCGCATCCTATTATACATGCGCTGGAGCAGGCCAGTGGCGGTCGTTGTAACTTGTGTGGTATGTTGTTGTGGTACCTCATGTGTGGTCGTCTACTCTGCAGCCGTACTATGATATTTGGCGACAAAGGTTTGTGACCGCAAGTCATGGTTTCCACACACTGACTTCAATGTATACGATTGGCTCAATATCCGTTTGCACTGCCATTTTTTGGCCACCGGACCGCATCGGAGTTTAACGGAGCAAAACCAGAGGGTGTTGGTTGAGGTTCACGGCCACCCACCAGTTATCTCTCCTGTTGGACTGTGAGATCAGGAAAGAGAGTATGGGGTCTGTGAGCGACCACGGGAAGATGAGGCCAGTTGGCTGGGTAGCTGAAGGGAAGAAGGGGAGGGCCATGGTGTGTTTTAGGGTTAGCTGAGTGTTCCGAGAAGGGTTGGGATACAGAAGTATTTACAGATGTTTCAGAATGACAAGTTCAGAGGTTTCAGTCTGTTTGGTTTCCACGCCTCCGCATTGGTTTATCATGTTGTTATATATTGACACTGACGACACGCGGCCGACACGCCGCTTCTGTCGCTCACGTGCCTCGGCCGCACGTTCTCCGGCTCACCCTTTTGACTGGCCGCACGCTTTCCTGTCCGGGCACGACTTTTGGTATGAAAAATGTGGAAGCGCGCCTTTGGAGCGCGCAAACTTTGGCTTTTTGATATGGCACGCTTTTTATTTTTTATGGATTGGGGCCACGCCTCTTGAAAAGATGGGCACACCTTTTGAGGGGCGACTTTTTAAGGGGTCCGACAAGACTCTATAAACTGTCCCACATGATTTCCGGTAGCTACCTTATGGCGCTCCGACCAAGACTCTGCTATAAACGTTGGCTCCGACATTGATTCCGGTTTAGCTCGCTTCATGGGTCCGAGCCATAGACTCTGTTTAAACTGTTCCGACCATTGATTCCATGGTTAGTTTCTACAAGGTCCAGGCTAGACTCCGTTAAACTGTCCCAACTGTCACGAACATTGTCTGCCTTACAACGGCCGACAATGACACCAATAAAACTGTTCTGCTACACGGTTCCGACATTACGTCTTATAGATCCTGTCTCCTCTACATCGGTGCCACTCGAGCCAGTGTCCCTCTACAACCCGTTATATGACACCCACCATGAACCAGTGTCCTCGTACAACGTTATGGACACCACCAGTTACAGTGTCCTCTACAACGTGTATGACACCACCATTAACAGTGTCTTCACCAATGGTCTGACACGACCATACAGTGTCTCCTATCCTGTTTTATTTTATTTATCAGTTTACTTTCCTGTTTTGTTACTCTCTCCAAACTCAAGTTGGTTAGTATCTATCCTCCTTGAGTTTGAGGGGGGCTGTAAGTGTGGTAGGTAGAGTTGAGTGTGTTAGGTGAGAGTTGAGTGTGGTAGGTGAGTATGTTTTTCTCTTCTATATATAGGAGAGTCATTGTAAACATTAATAACAATCATAATACATACAATTTATTCTCTCTGTATTTCTCTCTTTATACATCAACTCTAATAGGTATAATAAAATTTGACATTAAATCCCGGTCAATTCCACAAAGAAAAGAACTTGTTACCAAGTTATAAGCTCTTTAAGTAAGTTCTCGATGCCCTTGCTACATCAAGGAGCCTTAGAACCGAATATGATGGCAGTGTGAAACTAATTTCTAGTTGCAACCTTGCTTATTGTAGAAGATAATGACCGGGGTTCGGATTTTGAAGATAAGATTATATTGTTAAAGATATGAAACATTTAGGCTCTGTTTGGAACGATTTTGGAAATAGTTTTCTACGCACACATTCTAACTTCACGTTTGGATACGCCTTCCAAATTGTATTTCCACAACCAAGACAAAACTCTGCAGAAAACTCTATTTGAGAGTGTGATTTTCAAAATTTTTTTTTTCGAAATTTGGCCTAACCGGTTGTCCCACCGGTCATCCCACCGGTTGACTGGAACAGTGCAATTTTTTTTTGTTGGTACAATTGATATGTTAATTTTTATATATTCGAAAAAAATATTTTTCGAATTTTTAAAATTTTTTTATGTGCTTTTAATAGAATTTTGAGTTGTATGTTTGATTATGAATTATAAGTTTTTGTATCAAATATCAAATGTCACATCAAAAATTCCCCACTCAATTCAAAACTCTTTTCAAAATTATTTTTAAAACTCTTTCACCAAACAAATTTTCCACACTCAAATCATAATTCCAAAGCTCACAAACTTAAAATACAACTCATACTCTCAAATCATAGTTACAAAGGTCTAGCAAACGCAACCTTACACTTCATGTTGCAGATATGAAGATCCCATGATTTACGGTTACCATGATTTATATCATGATTTTGTATCTTTGATATATCTCAATTCTGTAGTTGAAGCGATATGATTGCCCAAACTTCCTAGCACCATTGATTAGCATCTCATTGGATTAAATGCTAAGCCGAGTATTGTTGATCAATATGACAGATCTAAGTGCCACATGCCTTGCCAACCTACTAAGGTGTTCAGTATACTGGCCAGCATATCATTTTAGTTTGTGAAAAGTGCCCACTGGTGCATACATTTAAATAATTGACAAAGCGATATATTTGAAATGGAGCTAATAAAATTAAGTGATACAGGTTGACAAGCATTCACACCTCTGGGCATATAGACCCAATTCATCTCTCCCAGAAGTAGACAAATCTGTTTCAAGTATAATCTGCAGTTTCACCTTGCAACGAGGTGACTCTACAAACAATATTCCCAAGTTGAGGTCAACAAATGTATTAATAAAACACATTTCTGGAGCCTACAAAACCAAAGACAAATGAATTAAAACTTATGTTGTATACCTAAAAAAATAAAAACTTTGTTCTCATAACATTATATACATGACACAAAAAAATTAGAAAATCATTTAATTTAACTACAACTAAATATCCAGTGGAGATTAACAAGCAGAATGAGATGCATTAATCAATAAGGAAGAAATAAATTTATGTTTCACATTTACGAGAATGAGGCCCCTTATATGATTAGTTAGTTCTATTAACTCTGTCCTTCACCCATCAACATGATAAACTCTCTCAGGAGAACTCAGCTTAGGATGCATATGATTCAAATAAGGTAATGGTTTAGTAAGAAGGAGCAGCAAAAAATTTCTATGAAGCCATATAACATACACAGCTTGAGATGCATAATATGCTTATTCGAGAACACCTCCCCTTCAGAAGTCAAATCATCGTACATATTAGCACAAAAGTCCACCTTCTGCTGTAATAATTAGAAGATTTTATCTTGAGAGTTTTTACTTCACTTGCCGGTATGTCCAATTTGCTATGAGAGTTTTTACTCCACTTGCCGGTATGTCCAATTTACAATTAAATGCAACAGTGAGGACCAAAAATTCACATACAGAGATGAATTGACTAAGAACACTTGTATATGGAGAAATATTTAATACCCCATGTGTATGCACAACAGTTCACCTTCTTTTGTGTAAGAATTTCGCCACTCAAGCTTTTGAGAAGCCATTCTCGATCATGAAGCAAGCCTGCTCAAAGATTTAAAACAAAAAATAAAAAGAGTGTAACAACAACACAGTAACATATTACCCAATCTGAATTAAGACATAGGCAATCCTTCAAAAGACCAACTTTCTACATCTCTGAGCGATGCAGTGCAGAAAGAAAAAATTAAAGTAAAAAATTGTACTACATAAGAACATCGTATGCATTCACTGATTATGTCTTTTAGTAATACTATTGTTGTGATTCTGAGATAAGAGCATTTTATTTTTGTTATGTCTCGTCACTATTTGCCTATATCCAGGCACCATAGAAACTGACATATTGGCTTATTCTCATTTCCCTTCTGAACATTTCTCCAGTGAAATGCTTCCTTTCCTTAATCTCATTCAATTAAGGTGTTTTCTTGTGGAATTTTCCCAATCTGAGGTCTTGGATTTCCTTCTGCTAGTTTCTTTATTTTTATGATTCTTGATATTGTTCACTTGATTTAAAACATTGTTGAAACCCTCATACACAGATGGTATGCAACTGAGAAATAATTTTGATCCTAACAGAAATAGAAACGCAGTCAACATCAATGGAAGAATGCAACCACCTACAACAAAATTTTAAAATGGTGGGCAAGAGAAGCTTACAAGAATCATGCTTTTGTCATAACAAATAGTGCTTGCTCAACAGATATACATATGCCGAAGCCATTACAATCCTTTTGTCATAGAAAGCTAATTTACCATCACGCTAAAGTAACTACATATATATTCTGTTTTAACTTCTTTTTTTTTTCCTTGAAAAGTGCTGTAGAGAAACTAAAAGATATAAGCATGAATTCATGCAAAAATATTATATGATATGTGCTGCCAAGAAGTAGCTACCAGTGTTGCTTATAGGCCAGTTGTCTACTCTGAACCCTGCACATGACTTTATGGGGTAGACAGTAATAGACCGAAGATAATATCTTGCAATTTCTCTTTTAATGCCTGCAATTTGGAAATAGCACGTGTTAGTGGAATGGAAACACCATACTTAGGAAGCATTATTGGCTTGTAATTAGTAACAGTGAGTTGATGACCGTCTTCTGCTATTATTTTTTTGATGAAATAAATTTTTTTTTTTTTTGATCATTTATGTTTGTGAATAGATCTTTTAAACATATATTAGTACTTTTTGTCCACAATTCTTTTCCAATATATAAAATAGAGAAGAAAATCTTAATATTTTCATATAATGAAATATAGATGTATTTTAACATACAAAATGGAAATTTATTATTATTATTTTCTTGTATATACAAAGATATATATTTATTTGTTACCCTGCCCTTGCTGTGTTGTATCCTGATTTTTTAAAAGCTAGTGTCAGCATTTTCGTGTCGTGTCGCATTTGTGGCCCGTATGTATCCATGCTACATAGCATGTAGAAAGCTAGCTATTTTAACTTCTAATAATAAGAAACAAGTAAAAGATCAAGAGGATAGTGAGAAACAATAATCTCATTTACAAAACTTGCATTCCACTAGCAGTAGAGTAAAAAGACTGAAAATCACCGTCACTTGGAAAGCAAATGGATCTTGCACTCGATTGATATACATACTCAGACTGAATTGGCACAGATGCAAAAGAATTCACTATGAAGTTTATAAATTTCTGCATACACAAAATGGAGAAGAGAGAAGAAAAAAATCATGATCTCGATATACTACTGTGGGAAAAAAAAAACAATGTAGTTAAATTCTCTCCCCCCTAGTGGTGTAG